ACACACACACACACACCCTTGCTTCCGCTAGTCACTAGTTTTATGGCTGTTGTATCAAGTTCTCAGTTTGATGCACAGTGTGCTACTGAGCTCTTTTTCACAAAATATGTTCCCGGCACCCGGTTTTGTCTCCAGACGTTTCATCTTACTGTTGCCCCTGTTCCCATCTCCCACAGTTTCCTGGTAGAGTAAAACCGCTGCTGGATTCGATTGCGCTCATGGATTTCCCATTTGCACCCTTGCTTTTCTGCAATTCGCATTAGCGGTGATTGGAGATGTCAAGATTGAAACAATACTCAGGACACATTGCGCTTGATTTTGATGCTATCCACAGCAGGGTTTCGTATTATAGAACGTACTGCCGACTCTAGCACATGTGGTCTCGCCCACTCCAATCACACTCCCGGTTCCTCTAAGAGGCTGGCGCGGGAAAAGGACGGCGTAACGCGGTGGCTCGTTGGACTCGACACCATCGTGTTTCATCCGTTTTGCCATATGGCCCTACTGGATTGTTGGGGGTAAACCCTGGGTCGCTGGAAGAGCGAGTGTTGTGCTTTTGTTTGAGTTGTTTCCTGAAGCATCGCTAGAATGAACACACATTGACAAAACAAAACTCCGATCTTTGATTTGCGCCCATTGGAAGTGGATCGGCATTCGCACTGGGCTCCTGGAGACAGATCTGCATTCCCGTGAAGCTGTGGTTCAGAGGCTGCAGCAATTGACAAATTGTGTCCAGTAGCGAAACATGGCGCTCGCATGGGCCTGGTGCCTAGATGTGCCTAGGGTGAGTTTGCTATGTGTTCAAAAAATCTTCAGATGGCTCCACGGCCGAAATGAAGCATTTTGGCTTGTTGTATGGATTCAGTTTGCAATTAGTAACAAGTGTATCGCTACTAGTAACAATGCACTTGTTGCTGGAATTGTTGAAATTAGAGTAATTAGAGGCCTCGCAAGACATTTGTGAGGAGGGAGCATTGAGCATGGCCTCACACCCAGCCCACAGCTTGTCCCAAGGTGCGTCTTCGGTGCGTGGTTTCACATAGAACATGCATGCTTCTCAACCCCTTCGAAGGACAGATTGAATTGAGATCATTTGGTTTCTTGAGACTGCCTCGCCCCAGCTGCCAACCATCTTCCAGCTGATGCAGCATGCATTTTCTGCGATGGACATGCCTTCTACTTCAAATCATCGACGTGCAGGGATTGGCGCTGGATTATTTGGAGACTCGACGCTTTTCATTCCCGGTCGGGTTGGGTGCGTGGTGGGATTTTCCAATTCATTCCAGTTCCCTTTCTCCGTCAGGTCGCGACCGTCGCGTTCGCCGAGGAAATTGGCACGGCTGATTTCGACACACTCGCTCAGCAGCTGCATGGAACGGAAGGTGTGGCTGGACTCTCCGTCGAGCCGGTGGAGGTGGGAATTCAGTGGGTTCCAGAAATCATTGAATTCATAAATTGATTTTTAAGATTTATTCCAGGATTCCGTTCTTGATTTACTAAGCATTTATCAAAACGGAACGGACTCCTTGGATGATTTTTTTCTCCGCAGCGAGTTTCACGGCCCATGACCACCTCGCCCCATTGAACGGTCTGATAACGGCCTGCAGATGCTGTGGCCACTTTGGCCGCCAGTTCCTTCACCAGTGTCCTCATGGGGATGGACATGGGGACGCTTGAAAAAGCTATCTTTGAAGTGGCTACAAAACTCCCATGTCCTGAATCTTCCTGACACGGGAAACAGTTCTTTTGACCGCCCCAAACAATGCGGGTTCTGCCTTTTTGGGACACTAGGACATCTTTGTCACAACTACACCCGTCAGGTTGCGCAGACTGCAGGTGTGAATGGGTGTGAACGTGTGTGAACTCATGGACTGCAGGGTGATAACTCAGATGCCACTCAGTCTCGGGAGCGTCCTTCTCGACTCTGCGTCCTTTGGCGTCGTCTCGACCCGCAGAGTCGCGCTGGCCCCTCGTTTGGAAACACCGAGAAGAGTCCAAAACGGCTGCACACCAGTTCAAAAACATTCAGACCGTTTCCATTCGTTTCCAAGACTGCCCACTGTTATCTTGGAAGCATCCTGTGAACCTTCTTTGTTTGGATGGGCAATCGGGAATCCTTGTACCTTCAAAAGATCTCTCTTTTTTTTTTCTCTCTCTCTCTCTCTCTTTGCTGATGAAACACAAGCAATCGTCCACTTGAGATTGTAAAATTAATGGTGTGTAAGTGTATCATTGACTGTTTGTGCTGCAGAATTTTGTTGCCCTGATGCACATTTCTTCCTCTTTCTGACTCTGAGACAGTCTGAGACTCTGTGTCACAATGAAAAAGGCCATGTTTGTCTCCGAGGTGATGCCGTGTTCCCCGAATTGATTTCAATTCCACGATTCGAGCGGCTCCAGGAGCACTTCCAACGGCTCCCAGAACGGCCCCCACTGTTGCAGAAGCTGCGTGCGGCTGTTGCGGAGGCCGACGGCGAAGCTGAGCTCTACGTGGTGCGGCAGGCGGTGACCCGACGGAAACGGCATGAAACGGCTGATAGCAAACTACTGATGAAACAGATTCAGTTAGCAACTAGCAACACACTTTTTCTTTTGGATATATATATATATATAAGTGACTATTAGTGTTTGGCGACATTCCACAATGGTGCACGTGTCGATCCTTAGAGGCGGAGCGACACGATGTGTGATTCTCAGTGCAAAAGAAAGTTACACAGAAGCAAAAGAAGGATGTCGCAACGGGGTGCTTCTTCGAAAGACTTTAATAACAACTAAATGCATACAATTATAATCAGTCATGTTTAACATTTATATATACATATTCCTGAACATTATATATTTATAGGCTTAAGGAGACTGGTCAACCGCCCTAGAGATTGGAGGTTTTCCTTGGAAACAATTGTGATTATACAGTGTAGATTGAAGGGACACAGACGGCTGCAGATTATGGTCAGCTGATGACTGATGACATTGGTGATCCCTGTCAAGCTACATGTAGGGCTGCATGGAATGTGTAACAGTCTTTGATGCCTTTAGGGCTACATGTCACTGTCCAAACCCAAGGACAAGGGTCAAATCACAAAACAACTCAACACGTGACAGGAGACATGTATCTCTCAAGATGACTACAGTAGTTTGAACGAGTGAACCCTCCAAACCTTCCAACTACTCCCCCCACACCAGCTGGAACATCCAAAAGACCATACTACATTTATGAATTTATGATCATTTATGTCCTTGTCCCAGCTTTCATCAGTCTCCCAGATTTCACTGTAGCTACCGTGTTGACATCGGCGCGGAGCCGGGAGAGGAGTATATGGAGCCGCAGTGCAGCAACGAGACCGTGAGGGAACTGGGCTTGTCACCTGACCTCACCCGTCGTGCCGGGGATGTTGGTTTGGGCGTTCAGGGTGGGAATGGGTTAGAAAAATGATCCAACAAGAACACTTGGTTTGATCTACAAGTACAAGTATTAAATACATGTCCATACATGTCCATTTCTATCGCTTCTAATATGAATAGAAGTCGTCATCTAGTTTCGATTTGTCCTGCCACTTTGGGGCTGGTCTGGTGTGCCAAACAGCATCCAGAATATCGTTCACCATGTTGACCTTCCATGTCGGATCCAACTTTAAGTTTTGGGCTAGTTCTTTGGTATCGCGCTGCTTGGGCATGGCGTCAAATGCACCAGCAGCACAACCGCCAATTGCAGCATGGCCTTTCTTGTGCTTTAGATCTATTCAATCATCAAAAATGACAGACACTGATGCAAACTCTATTGGTTATAGGATTCCACTGAGTTCGAGACAGAAACAAATTAATCCGATTCACAGTGAAACCTGGCACTTCCAAATTCATAGGGGGACCGACCCGTGCTGAGTAGAGAATGTTCGAACAGTTTCACGGCCACAAAAAGGATCAAAAAGGACCAAAAAGGCTCAGATGCCGGACTTGGATCCCAGCCTCATTCTATGCGTTTTTGCATCCAAACGCCTCGACCGAGGCCTTACTGTCTACCCTGGTGGTTCAGAGCCACGGCGAGCCTCCACCGTCCTGCGGCCTTGGTCTCGGTGCATGCGGGGCCGAAAGCCCTCGAGGCGCAGGTCGGACCTCAGGGGAAGGCATGGGGGAAGGGGGACAAGCAGGGGACGAATGGATCCCACATTCAGCGGCAGGCCCTTGCGTGCCCTTACCATTCCCAGGGAAAGAGAAATCACACTTCCAGCATCTTCTAGCCACCCAATCAACCAGCCACCGTGAGTGGGTGGGTCAGGTGGCCGTGAGGGTGCCCACCGTGAGCTATGCCTCGCTCATGCGCCGCTACGGCGTGACCCGCCTTCACCTTTTGAAGATCGACACCGAAGGCGCCGGCCACGGACCGATCGATCTCGGGCCTTTTCCGGCGAGGGCGAAGTGTGTATGAAGTGTTATGATACTCCATGTTTTCCGCCTTCTCACGCGGATTTCGAAAGGATCCCTGAAGCAAGGCTTTGATGTCTTCATCTTGAAGCAAATGCTCGCTTGGGGGGAGATGACTGGACAGTATCCGGAGCGCCTGCAGTTCGAGCGCAACAACTTGACTGACGTGCAGGAGTCTCAGCAAATCCTAGAAGCCCTGCAAGCAGCTTATGATTGCTGGATTCCTGCTGCTGAAGATGATGTGCAATGCCTTCGCCTGGGCGATTTGGCTGTTGGCCAACCATACGCCTCCAGCGGGGTATCGTTCCCCACCCCCTGGTGGCGCCTGCAGCTGCCAGATCGCCTTCAGGTGGCTGGTGTTCGCATCAGCTTAGAGGACAAGGACTCCTTGGTAGTAAAGGTTGGGGACTCGTTGGGAATTCACCTGAATCGCTTATGTGGGCCAGTTCAGAGCACCGAGACGGGTGCCGTGGTGGCACGTTGTGCTTTGGAAGGTCGCTATGTGATGCTGTTAGGAACCTCCCAGCCTCGGCAGGTGGAGGTCCTTGGACCACGGACGGCTTTCGGTGCTTTTCGCCTCTCGCTGGGCCAACGATGCTGTCATCGAGGGTGCAATAGTAGCGACACCAGCCTTTTCGAAGGCTACGACCCCCAGTGCGAGCGCCGCTGTCGGGAGGATCATAGCTGTCACTTCTTCACGAGCTTCAACTCACTTTGGTGCATCACCTATGCTGACTGCGAGGAGGAGCTTCCAGAGCGCGATGCTGCTAGTGTGACCTTTGGACTCTGGCCACGGGAGCTTTTGCCGCTGCCGATCCTGAGATCATCAGCACAGCAGTCCTCAGTGGATTGGGGAGGTGAAGCGCACCGGGCCATAGATGGCATTTTTGATCCGCATTTCTTGAGAGGCAGCTGTAGCCATACTGCCCAGGACGAGTTCGGCTCTGGTCCTCACACCTGAACTTCGGATGTTTTGGGGAACCACCCATTTGTAGGAAATGCGATTTGAATCGTTCCACACCCAAAGCACTGACTTTTTAATACTCTTCAAACATGGAAAACAATCTTTCACAAGTGCGACCACCAACTCACCACGTAGGTCAAACAGTCAGGATGCTAGCGTCGCTGGGTTGGGAGTATCCAAGCTCCATCAGTCATCAGCCCATTCACATCCTCTCTCGGCACCTTGAAATTCTGATTCGCTTCCACTGATGGAAGGTGTCCAATCTGCGATAGACGGTGCGATCATGTGTGAAATATAAGGTGACAAATATCTGGTAAGACCGGGAAGGATACCAAACGATGAAATCCCACTCACCTGGCTTAACCTTTCTTGACCTAACTTGCTCGATCAAGGAGTCCCAGAACTCCTGGTGGGCGGCTCGTGTGGACCCTGAGACCGCCACCGCCGTCACTGCCGTGCGTGTCTTGGGGCGCTGGGACTGCTGCCACGAGCGTTTGGATGGCTGGGAGGTGGGAGGGTGATGGGAGTGTCGAGTGCCAGGTCGGTCGGTGTGTGTCAAAGGACCAGAAGACCCGGTCCGATGGGGTTTCGTCCGCTTTCCCCGCTTTCCCTATTGTCCCTATTTCCACAGCTGACCTCAAGATACCTCAACATGTTGTATCATAATGTATCATATGATCATTGCTGGTCGAGACACACTCCCTCTGTATGCTGATGCCAGGTGAGGGTGGGCTTTGACCCTGACGTGCTTCGAAACCCTCGCTGCGGCACAGTACAAAGTCCATTGGCTGCGGGCGGACGACGCACCATACACTGCGGTCAAGCGATGGTCGGAGACATGGTGGGAGTGGTCCTACCCAGTGGAGAGCCATTGACCTTGTGTGAGGTGGAGGTCTTTGGGCCCTATCGTTGGTAAATTGGATCAGGATCAGACATTGAAGCCCGAGAGGTCTCCAGGATTTACTTCAGAACCTTGTTGCTGCTCTTGACCGAGTACTGGTTCTCCTTTGCGCACAGCTTCTGATCTTGTAGGTGCAAGAGTCAATCTGGACGAACGGTTCTTGGCCATCAGAGCCAAAGACAGCATGCAACAAGATGCAACAAGCACATAAAGATCATAAAGAGGTGTGCTGCATAGAACCCCGTTCTGGGGTCTCCACTAGATTATTCAAAATGATGGATCATCCTTTCGGATGTGCAAGTTGATTGATTCCAAAGTATTGCTATGCATCTCTGCCGTGCTGGCAGAGTTTCGCAGTCTCACAGCAGGCACCCCACAGCAGGAGCTTGCTTGTGAAGCCACGAGTCATCCAACCAAGGAATCACACTTGGTCCAAAGCTAGATCCCCAAAGTGCTGGAGCCTGCTTGTTGATGGTTGTAAAGCATGATAAAGTACAGAAAAGCAAAGACACGCTGGATACTACACTGGTGAGGACAGAGCCGTGTCAGCGGGTCCTTTTGGAGCCTTCTCGCCGCTTTCGAGCATCTCGCTCACCCAAACTTCTGTCAATTTCACCTCGGCAAGAACCAACAACTCAACATCAAGATCTCAACATCAAAGAAGTTCTACTTTGAAGCTCAGAGTTCTGAGACTTCGATCACCGGAGGCTTCGACCTCCTTCGTCACCGAGGCACTGGGCGCCGCCCTCGTGGCGCCCATCATGGCCTTAGAGGTGGGAAGATGGGTCACACGACTCTTCACATCCATGGGTCACACAGGTTCTGGGGTCCGCTGGATCGCTTGCAACTATTGTTCCAAGTATTGTTCCAGTTCCAGTGCCAATGAATTCGTGCCAGAAATATACGGTTGATTCTGTTCATGAACCAATTCCTGCATTGATTATTATTTTGGAGCCTGAAACACCGCAGGTGTATCAACATGTATCAACCATCCTTCTAGTCAGTTCGATCTGCACAAGGACCTGAAAAGGCTATCCATGCTGGACCAATTGACCCGATGACCCTGGTGAATAGTAGGAGAGTGATGATCAGGCGCGAGGGCAGCCAGTGCTGATGCAGGTTGTGTTGGGCTCAGAATTGCGGAACTTGTCAACAGACCTTGATATGAGGTAGCTTCATGCAGCTGCATCTCGTGGTGGTATGGTGCATAAGATGTGTGGTTTGCAATCTGGGCTGAAAAATAGACCATCCAAACCCAATAGTGAAAGGGATCACTAATTAGTAACCTGCGTGGCACTATCTTTTGGAGCCACCCATCGATAAATTGCAACGACTCGCTGCCCGATCTTTCCGCAGCTGTTTTCAGGAGGCGCGGACAGCCCAAAACGAGCTGCGTCCTGGCGTTTCGAGTTGGGAGTTGATTGAGGTCCTTCGCTCGGTCTGATGAGCAATCCGACCTTTGAAGCACAGAGTTTCCTTTTGACGCTGGAAGACGACCCCCCAAAAGACGCCAAAGTTATAAAGTTATGCAAGGTGTCAAATATTCGCCGAAACCATCCGAAACCAACGTGTGACCTCTCAATCACCTCCCGACTCCCGACCAAGTTAGAGTCGGCATTGTCGCGGAGTCCGGACGGTCCATTGGCCTTGAAGACTGGCGAACGCAGCGCCGGACAGTTTTCTTCGGACGACCCAGTCCTCCAGCCCATGCGGATTCACGTGCGTCTCCTGAGCGGGCGCCTGGCCTCGGTGGACAGCCTGGGCTGGGGCCCCAGCCCGTGGGCCGTGGGCCATGGTGGACCGGTGGTATCTGGTGGTATCCGGTGGCACAGGTGAACTGGATTGAAGAACGGTCGGTGGTGTTTCTTCTCAGAAAATGGACCTACATGCAGGAGATGGATTACATCATGTAGAACTGCGAGCACTCCAGCACTAGCAGTAGCATGGTCATTCAGAAATCATCAAAAATCTCAATCTTACAAATCTTACCCAATAGATTCTAAACCGAGACTTGCACCATCATTTTCCAGTGCATTCTTTTTTTCAGGTGACCTAGGACCTAGGGCCTATCGATGGTCTTTGGGGAGACCTAAGGGTCTCTTGTTTTTGACATCCATGGGAGCAGTGGGTGTTGTTGAGTTGTATTTGATTTTTTCATGAATACTGTATTATTTGTGTGTAATGAATAGTGTACAAGAATGCGTACAAAAAAGTAGCCGATGCCCTTAAGGATACATGATGTTTGCAACATGTAACCAATTAGATATTTTTGTATCATATCATGTATCCACTTGCACCCTTGTGCATACTTGACGTAAGAGCTGTGACCAGTTCAGCTCTTGAATGCGCGACTCCTCCCATCGCAAACCTGGGGAGTTGGAAGCATCATGCAGGTCCTGAGAGCTTCGTCTATGACTTGCGCCGCCGGGCGGAGAAGGATCTGCAAGTTGGCATCTCATCTCTGTCGTGCCGAAACGAAGCTTCTCATCCGCGAGAAGTGAGGGTATGGTAAAGGTTTCTGAAGATGGAATTGAACCGAAGGCGGGCAATAAATTCAATAAATACTATCATTCACCTCGTTGATCTTATAGAGCACTCTATAGAACCAAGGGCTCAAACTGATCAGGTTTTCGTCTCATGCATTGAGTAAGCCTCATAAGTGGAACTTATGAGCCTACTCATGCTGATCATGCACAATCATGCCATTAATATACATATATATATATATAATATATACATCAAACACTTCCATATACCTGAACTGAAGCCTTACCGTTGCGTTGAGCGTCCTGCTCCCAATTCAGACATCCTCAGGTCTTGAGTGGAACGTCCACCCTGGCCGAAGTGGGCCTGGAGGACGGCGACACGGTGAATGCGGTGGTGCGAAGGCCCACCTTGGCCTCCTCCATCCGATGCCCCAGCTTTGCGCCTGTTTCCCAAGGGCTCGGACAAAGGGCCGGTGAACTCGCCAGTCACATGTCCACATGTCTGTCCATTGTTCGTGGATGAAGAATTCCCTAGATTTAATGTATGATTCATTCATTTTCATGCTTGTCGCTTTGCTTCACTCAAGAGGGAAGGGCTTTTTTCACGGAGGATGGATGGCCTTCCTATTCTGTCTTGCTGGGGTGTAAGTGGCGTCGGTCCCATCATTGGATGGTCGTTGCTTCCGAAGCTTCCTTGTATCTTCCTTGTGATGTATGATTTGTCAATCTCTTTTCATGGGCTGTCACAACATAAGACTCTTTAGAGGACCGAGGTAGCTTTGCATAGAAATCCCAGATTTAGAATTTAGACCCTGAATTCTAGGGTGGCTAGGACTAAGATGGTCTTTTGGTGGAATCACTTGATTTCTTCTCAAAAAAAACACCTTGGAACATTTTGCCTAGACCGTTGCGCAGAGTTGTGCCGTCCCACCGTTCATCTCTGGCGGAGCCGCCGACCGTTCAGGCTCGCGGAGCCTTCCGCCGTTTCTGTCACCGAGACGTCCATCGCTCAGGTGCTGATCCAGGGGGATGGAAGTCTGGTCACCTGGGGTGCTGGATCCTCCACCTCTCAGCCACCTTGTGTGCAGCAAGTGGCCTTGTCAGAGACCGCCTGTGCAGCGGTGCGGGAGGCCGGGGATGTGGTGACTTGGGGCGAAGCGAAGCAGTGTGACACTCACCTGGCCACTTGGACAAAAATGCATTGAAACACAATATATATATATATTTATTCAATACTATAATGTATATATATAATATATAGTATTATATTATATTATATTATATTGTATTATATTATATATTTGTATTTGGAGTTCATGTTGGGCAGCGTTTGAGGCTTTTCTCCTCAGGCTGGCTGGATCTTTGTGTATGGACGACAAATTATATCCATTAGTTAGCCAGTCTGGTGAGCAACAACCATGGATCGAAGGGAGAAAGTCTGAGTAAATGTATACAAGTAGTGATTCAGACTGTTCTGTTCGGTTCGGTCAGCAATTGTTTCGGGACAGTGTTTGGAATGACATTTTGAGCATAAATTACACCTTAAGGATCCTGAAGAGACCATTTTAACACTGTCATTCCTTTGCCGAGGTCCAGAATCATCTCAAGAATGTGCGAGAAGTTGTCGCTACAGGACATGCTTTCGCAGCACTGAGGGAAGATGGCGAGGTGGTGACATGGGGGCATATTGTCAGCGGGGGCGAGAGCAACCAAATCCGGAACAAGCTTCATGCAGTTCGACAAATCGTGCCCAAGCTAGTATGCGTTATTTTTGCCGTGTCAATGTGCATTTTCTTGTTTGTGCTTTTCTGTTGGGTTCTTGTTGCATCACCACTTCGGTGACTTTGTTGTTTGGTAATCTTTGGTCCTTTTCTCGGCGTTTTGTTTGTTCTTTTCTGTCTTCTCCTCTGCTTTTGGCTTCATAGGGCACAAAACCGCCAGTTGCCAATTAAATAGACAAACACATGTTTGGGCCAGCCTGACAGTGTCCAAACGGTTTTCGTATTCCAATTGCCATGAGGCATCTTCCATGCACGCGTTTGCAGCGCTTCGAAAAGATGGAAGTGTAGTGACTTGGGGAGAAAACGAATCTGGTGGTGACAGTTCCCTGGCTGCGCCCAGTATGTTTTTCTGGCTCTTGCGAGTGACCTTTGTATTCTTCTCGGGAGGTTTATCAAGCTGTATGAAAGAGATCACTGTAGATCGTATGAGATTCGTTCCCTGTGACCATGCTTTAGAAGTGGGATACCGAAATCAACGAACATAGACGCATGGTCCGTAAGGCCTCTTCACGATGACCTGAGTGTTCTTGTAGATAGGCGGGACACACTGACCACTGGCCAGTTTGGCCGTCGCAGGTTTTCGCCTTTCCGACGTTCAAATCACCGAGGTTCAAATTCAAATCACATCACCCACTTCGGAAGCAAAAGATCCCCCTCTCCAACAGGTTTCAACACCCGCGAGATGATTCGCCCTTTCTCGAAGCCTCGAAGCTCACCGCCCCGTGGCTCTTCGCCTTCGCTCACCGCCCCCGGACCGAGATCGCTCGACACCGAAGCGAGATCGCGCGTTCCGCGTCGAGGCAGCAAAGTGCAAGCCCAGCTCCGCGAAGTCCATGCGATCATCGGCGCGGATTTCGCCTTCACCGCCGTGTTGTTCGATGGCAGCGTGGTCACCTGGGGTGATGAAGCCAGTGGCGCTGATAGTAGCCATGTACAACAGGACGAAGCCTGTGAACGCCCCTGAAAGTCTTGGTTTGATGATGCATGATGATGCATGACTTGTTCATACTTTTTCCATCCCAAAACAATTGAGGGTTCATATAGTGCTTGCTTCTTTTTTCTCTCTTTTCTTGTGCTTTTGGTGCTTGGGCCCACCGTCTCCATCCTCTCTCATCCTCTCCGCCCCGTGTCCTTCGAAGGATCTCTTCGCGGTGAAGCAGGTGGTCGCCACTTGCGACGCCTTTGCAGCGCTTCGAAGCTCGGCCGCGCGAGCAGGGCGGGGTGGCCACGAACGCGCTGGCGCTTCGGTCGTTTGGTCGTCTGGGGGATGGATGAAGCGACGAAAGTCTGGGTTACTGAAGTCTGAAGATGTCTGAAGAGGAGTCTTCCGAAGTGAGGTCTAGCAGATCTAGCAGCTACTGCACTCCAGTAACTAGCTCTGGGCTTAGTGCAGAGCACTCTAGTCTTCTTGATTCGAAGTGTGAAAGTGATCGAGTTCATGGTGGCACTGACAGAATATGACAGAATGTTTCGCACAGCGAGCACAAATAAAACAAAAAGCTACTAGGAACAGAGGGCATCGCTACTAGGAGCAAGGACGCTACTAGGGGCTCCTGGCCTTACTACTAGGAGCAATGTTCGCTACTAAGAACAAAGGGCATCGCTACTAGGAGCAACACAATTTTTGCCTCTTGGGTCGACCTGAGTCGACCTGTTTTCAGATGCCTCTCTCACTGCAAGCTTCAAGCCTTACGGAAGGGCTATATAGTACTGTAGTGCCGCCTCCACCCATCCACTTAATTTTGTACAAGACATTGCAACACAAGTTTTGTGAGATGTACATAGACGCCTGTTATTTCAGCCCATTCGAGAAGGGGGCAGTCTCCTAAAGAGGGTCTGTTGAGTTCTCGATCTCCAAGTACCTAACTATCATTGCCAATCCCACCTTTCAAAAACTCCAACACCAACCTTTAAACTATCCAAGCCGTACCATACTTTATATAGTTTTCTTCCTACAAGTCTTCCTACATTATCCCTACCTGTTCGTTAGTGATTCGCTCCCTTCCCCCTTTTCAGGTCAGGATGGCCGTGTGGTCACCTGGGGCGACGGCGCCGCGGGCGGCGACAGCAGCACGGTGCAGGAGCAGCTGCGAGGTGTCCGGCAGGCCGGGGCCTGCTGTGGGGTCTACTCGAGTGGCTCTGGAGTTTTTCTTTCCTACTTGATCAAGTGGTGTTTTTCCTACTTAATTAAGAGACTAAACACGCTACTAGCATCTACTAGCTACTTAACGGGATACCTCATGCTCGCGCCAATGATTTGGTTACCTAAATTGAGACCGTGCCTCATGGACGTCGAAAACTTGCGTCTGAGTTTTTTTCTTGTGTATTCTTTTGTGCTTTCGCTCGTGTCAAAGCATGTTTTCGCCAGGTTGGGAGACCCGACGTGACGTGATCGTTGGACGTCCATTTTTTGGTCCAAGGGGCGCCAAGGGTCCGCGGTCCCAAAAATCTCAAAAGAACAGAAGTCTGAAACGCCCAGTGGTCCCCGTTCCATTGGTATGGACCTGCACGGTGCCCTGCAGCGATGCTGGGACTCCTTGAGCAGTCCGTCAGTACCTGCGCCCTTGGAGTGGGAGGATCCCGCCAAGCTCACCCAAAGCCATCTGAGCAGCCTGCTGAGCAAAACAGCTCTGGACCGGCCGAGCTGGTAGTGATGATGTGTGTCGCTTCCACGCTCATGCGGTTGATGCTGCTGCAGTGCTGGGGCTCACGCCTTCGCTGTCGTAGGAAGCCGCCTGGGAGTCGATGTGGGAGGAGCCTGCCGTTTCTGTGGCAAAACTCTGGACTGCACAGGCCGGCATGCTTTGAGTTGCATGGCGGGAGGTGACCACGTCGTCCTTCACAACAGCCACCGAGACCTTGTGTTTGACTGCTGCCAGCGGGCCCAAGTCCGACCGCTCCTTGAAGCGCCAGGACTGGTCGGCCAGCGACGACCTGCTCTGCAACTCACCTTGTTGCTCGCTCGCCAGATGGGACACAGCCCCACAGCCAGCGTGCCCTGGCCTTGGACTTTGCTGTTGTGAATGCCTTGGGCGACAACCACTGGGATGAAACACGCCAGTCGGCTGGCTCGGCCTGCTTAGCCTATGCCCTTGGTGCTGGAGCCGTGAATCACTTCCATCCCTCGACTTCATGCGATTGCTGCTTGAGCTTTGTCCTTGCCATGATGTCCACTTTCTCTGCGGTCCTGACCGGTTTTGTGTGAGGTTTTCTTCCTCTCTGAAGGAGTGTTTTTTTCCTCACTCGTTGCATGCCTTTTGGCCAGATTGATGCCCAGCTCGGCGCGGCACTGGTAATGGCCTGTCGCGTTTTTTTGGGGGGCCGGCGGTGTTTCAGTTTGCGCCATCGTTTCTCTGGGGCTGGTGTTTGTCGTGCCTTTTCGTTTCTCACCCGCTTCGGACTCAAGTTCACAGATGACTCGCTCCAAGATGGGGTATTTGTGAGTGATGATGTCCTTCAACCACAGCACCCGTCTAGAGTCTAAATGATCTAAATGGCTCCGCAAGATGAGGACTTGCCTGGCCTCAACGACTCTAGAATTTCAACATATAGTTACTATATATAGGAATTAGAATTATTCATGCTTGATCTAAAAGATTGGGAGACTGAAACATGTGGGGACAAAAGACAGTGCATCCTCACAATGCCATCCATCACCGTATTTATCTCACATGGACTCGACAGGTCTCATCCTAGAATATCCCCCGCACTTCTTCTTGGAGCAGCTCTGATTGTGTTGTTTTTCGCGTAGCCTTTGAAAGGCGTGCTGTGCCGTTGACAAAGGAGGATCTTTTTGCCTATCCTAAGTGTTCGTTCGTGACCTTCCGCCTTTCCATTGTTGCGGCAATGTGTCCTTGAATCAAGGACAAGACACATTTTCAAGTTCATATCACAGCTAGTCATACCATGTTTTATCCAGACAGACAGTTAGAAAATCCTCTAAAGTCAAACGGATTGGAATCAAAGACCACTCCATGTTCCTCCCCCCAAACAACCCAACATCCAAGGCCGTCTCTTCAGACGTCTTCAGACCTCAGGTCTTTGCCTCGTCGAGGGCCTTCGCTGCAGTGCGTCACGATGGCAGTGTCGTGACCTGGGGTGATGAGGCCTGCGGTGGCGACAGCAGCCCCTCGGCCGGATTCGGACCGAGGAGACGACGCACATGGCAAGACCGTGGGGCGAGACCGGACGGGGAGATAATGCTGCGACCTGGGGGGGAACATGAAACTTGGAGGTCAGGGAGACGGATGGAGACGGGGATGCAAGGTTCAGGTGAAGATAGCCTAGAATTTTGGGCCATGGACAGGTAATGAGGGTTTAAACACTACATAACTATATTATATATATACACATAATTATATACATAAAGTAAAAGTATATGAATCACCATGCCGAGAAGGTCTATATGGGACACATCTCCTGGGAACTACATGGATACATCGAAGAAAGGACATCAAAGATAGAGAACATACCTTTACCAAGCCAATAGGGCAATAGGGGGGTTGTTGATCCTACCTTTCCATTAGTAGAATATAGAGTTTGATAGAAACGCCGGTGTATGCGGGAATAGCTCTACGGGAGACACACACTCAACCTGTTGCACAGCGCCCTCCCAGCACCCGGAAAAATCCGGGCCTTTGTTCTGCCGTTCTCGTTTACGCAGATCCCCATCCAGGCCAGGCACCCAGGCCCATCTCAATGTGAAGGAGTCCTGTTCAGCTGGTGGGTGTCCACCGACTTTCTGCAACTTAGCAGGCTAACAGGGATCCTCTTTACAGACCGAACAAAACAATGAGTCTTTCGTTTTTCTTCTATGTTCTATTTAGCCTCGTTCTGGGCCATCATCATATCACAAAGGAAAAGCACTCAGACTCAAACAGTTCGACTTTCGATGAGGTCGACCGCACGTGACCGGCTGGACACCGGTCGACCGCACGTCGCCTCCGTCGGATCCAGGTTTGGTCCAAAGCCAACTGCAGGGCGTGCGGGAGATCGCGGCCTCCTCGCAAGCCTTCGCGGCCATTTTAGACGATGGACATGTGGTCACCTGGGGCAACAAGGCCTCCGGAGGAGCTTAAGATTGAGTGGGAGATGTGAGATTTTGGTGTGGTGTCGTAGGTGTTGTTGTAAAGGGATTCGAACATATTCGAACCGAAGAAGTCATACGGAAGTGCACAGGGAACATGTCAACGCCAAACCATCGTTTCCCATAGTCGAAAGTACACATGACTCCATGCAAATGAACACTTGCCGTTACCTGCGACCACATGGATATAAGGGTCAGAAAAGCATGGAAGCACTTTCCTTTGAAGCATTCATTCACTTGCTCAGGTAAAGGAGAATTTGCTGTCCCGCAGATGGCCCTACTGTGTTGACAGTACTCTTTAGTGCGTTTCAAACGTTTGTTGACTGGAGGAGATAGCCAACGTGTTCAAGGGGAACTCCATTCTGTTGAACAAGTTCAAGGTGCTCTGGCTGAAGGCTGAAGGAACAGATGGGCCAGGTTTTTGATACACTGTATCTGCAAAGGGCTGTTGGATTCTGCTTCTATGTGAAGAGCACATAAATATGATATAACTTGAACATGTATTCAGGAAGAGGGCTAATCATCATAAACTAGAGTCCAGTCTCAAGACAGCAACCCTGATCGGTGTTGTTGTTGGGCACCCATGCCATTGCTGATATCTATCGACAAATCAATCAACAGAGCAGCCCATGCTGCATGCCCAGTTCCAATACCTCAAGTGGATGAACAAGGGCTCCTACAGTGCGAGAGAAGCCACCAATATATCCATAAAGGTTCCTCATCTCGCGCCCCAATCGCAGCTGCTTGTAGAAACTGGATGCTGGAGACTTTCCATGTGAATTTTCGGAAAAGAACGGCACTCCTTTCTTTATTTCGGCCGTCTCCAGGTCTTTTCAGACCGTTTACACCTCGGTTCATCCACCTCAACATCCTCATGATCTCAACGATTCCGTTCGTCCTCCGTTCTCAGCGCTTCAGGTTCCCGAGGGGCTTTTGCCGCCTTGCGAGAGGATGGTAAGCTCATCACATGGGGACATGCAGCTTTTGGCGGTGGCCTGGCGTGGCATGGGTGGTCTGGTGGGTTTGTGAGAGGCAGAGCGCCAATGGCATGACTTTCTTCGTCGCAAGCAGAGACTCAACTTGTGCTCCACCCAACGAACATCCACCCCAAATCTCCGAGAACGTCCAGGAGCCTTTGAAAGCTGAGAGCTTCTGAATACCAGGGTGCCGCTGTGTGTTTCCTTTGGTTGGAGGCGGAGGAGTGTGTTTCCAGTGAATTGGCCAAATTGGCTCAACATGTTCTATCATTTTCTGGTCTGCTTTGGTTGGAGTCTGTGGCTGGAGTCCCTGATGATTGGAACTCAATTCTATAAAATCCGTCTGTGGTGCATGTATCCAAGTTCATGGGACGATGCACAGTTGGGAAAAGATTCAGGGGTCTGGGAGGCTCTGCTATAGTAGTACGTAAACCGTTGACCTAACTTCGACCTCGGGCGCCGCCCGATGACTCGCCCGTTGAAAAGCAACTTGATGACTCACGTGGAAGAAGAGATTCATAGCTGCCACAGTGCCACGTTTGGGTTTGGGCAAAACGACGAACAGTTCCACGATGTTCCACGCTCTTTTTTCCTGCCCTGTCATCGATCCTGGGAGACGCTTGTCCTGTCATCCTGGGGGACATTTGTGGTCCAGGGTTCAGCGGAAGCGGAATATTCTCGTTTCTTGCCCCCCAATTAAAACGACATGCCAGCTGAAGCTGGGATAGACCCAAAGAGTTTGTTTCTGCTGCAATTCTTTTAATGGAACACGTTATATAGTTTTCCGCGGTGTATTTTCACGAAACCCCTGCGTCTGAGTGGATATTGGCACACGCACGACAATACGGAAAATGGCCAAAGTGAATCAAAGTGAAGATTCCGGGATCAGAATCCAGAATTGTGATGTCCTTAGTCCCTTTGCAAGCACGGCTTTTCAAGTTCTCACCCCCGTCAGCTTTGGTCGACTTAAGGCAGTGGGCCGCTAGGAAGCTGATGGCTCGGCCCGGTGGGCGCACGATGGGCTCGGCCCGGAATGGAACACAGCAGATCAAGGGAGATGAGGGACTGGAAATGACACGAAATGCATCAATCATTGCGGCTATACATTATATAAAAATGTACTGTAATGTCTCTGTGCTGTTGGAAATGAACAGTTTGTGCACAAACACGTCTCGGTATACATGTATATAAGGAGCCACGGTCTAAGATGCTTAAGACATCTTAAGACTCGTTTTTTGGCTTTGGAGTTTGTTGCAAAAACCGATTCAACGTGACGTGTTTCTCTCATGGAGATTGATGGCACGATGACAGAGGCGATCTAAGTGACTAAGCCACTCATTTCTCGAGAACAGATAAAATTGGAGAAATCGCATGTGCATGATCAAAACGGCTGCATAATTTAACCAGAGAACGACTTTCATGTTCAGGGCATGTATATACATTAAACGCTACTTGTAGCTCCTGGCCTTACTACTAGGAACAAGAAGCTACTAGTAACAAAGGGCATCGCTCCTAGGAGCAAGGACGCTACTAGTAGCTCCTAGGAGGCTCCCCTTTTGAGCCAACGGGGATGTTTCTCCTTGGCCGGAGGCCAATCCCTCAGGTCCTTTACGGGATGTTTCATAGACGAAAGAGGGTTCAGTTCGTTTACTTTTATAGATTCCTTAAGGGATCGAATGGGTTCGAAATGTAGCACCAGCACATGACAGTACTTGTGTACAGTTACGTTTTTTTTTTTTTTCTGAGTTTTGTTGAAGACCTCCCTTTCGGTCACGAAAAGGCCCCATCCAGCAGTTCGTCGCCGGCGTCAAGCGTTCAACAAACTTTCAATCCGTTTGCTCCAAAACAGTTTTGAAGGACAACACGGACTCGACACAGACAGTCTTCACACGGTTGAAAAGACACCTTCCTTTCCCTCTCCCTCTCTTGTTGAATAGCAAATGTACAGTCCTGGAAGCCTTTATTATGCACGTCATTGGGTATTTGTGTTTTGGCACATCCTTATTCCTTCGTTTATGTAGCACTGTAGCCATGTTCGCTTGTAACGAACTCTGGGGCTTCTGAGCTACATTCCAACACGACGACGACGCAATATCGACGAGGCAATTTGAGGGTATTTAGATGTATTTAGGGTCCTTTGGCACATCTAGACTAAGAGAATATTCAAGACCGCTTCACACCATTTGGCCCTGGGCCTGCTTTCCAACATATTTTGAGAGCATGGGGCACAAAAGGCTTTCAAGGGTTTACTTGAGTGGATGTAGCTGGCGTTGGCACGCGGACATTTACCAGCAGCAGGGTTGCGGATCGTGGCAGAAGCAAAAGGCCCAGCGAAGAGATGCGAAAAGTAGGAGGGCAGTTTTTGAAATGGTTGTATCTCGTTTGCTCGTTTATACAGATCGAAATACAGCATTGCAGAGCCCCCTGAACCAGGGAGTTCAGAGGACGCACCCTGAGACTAGTTGGTAACACCTGCTGCTTGCGTCCAATTGCATTTGCTTGTAGATACAGTAGACTGTTTCAATCTCAAGGTCAGCACAGCATGGTCTGTGGGTATCCAGGCATGGGTCTGACAAGACCTGTGCCATTCAATTCCCAGTGCCAACAAACATGGCTATGCCCAGTGCCCATGAGCAGCTTCGCACGACGTGCACATGGGTATAATGAGTAGTCTGTCAGTCTTGCACCATGCGTCGAGCATCCTGTTCTCAACACGTCTAGACCATCCGACAAAATCGGGGAAGACTGAACGTGGGATGGGACACCTACATGAAACCTACATAACTGATGGGGGCCGACCCATTCTAGCTAGGGTATGTCCTTAGGCTAGACACCAGATTTCATTCGCTAAGGATTCCTGTTATTTCAACCGCCAGTGTGACATAGTGTGAACACCCGAAGAGCTGGAAAGCTGTACAGCTGGAAAGCTGAAGCTGAAAACGTGTGCTGACCTTGCCACCGAAACTTTTGAATTCAAGGTCCGAGCTCCAGCCAAGCTGAAGCTTGGGAGGTTGTGAGAAGGCCAAGTTCATGTTGATTCTGCCCCATTTGATGGGCAGACTACACAGGCACCTTAAACTTCAACGACTAGACTAGAACCAGCTGAACAGACGCGTTTTGCCTGGACGTTTGGCCACCGGTTTCAAGGCCCCCTTAGGGAATGAGACCAGAAGATATCAACTTGAGTGAGCCGAACAAAATGAACCGAGTCGTCTTCGGGTCGGCTGCGGAGAGAATCAGTGAGAGACAGACACCTGGCTGAGAAAATATGAGAAAATCACTCAGAATCCGTCAGGCCCTTTGATACCCTTCGATACGCGGCCAGAGTGGGGCCTTTTCAAAAAGGACTCTTCGGTCTCGCGGGGATTCGGCATCGCTGGCCCAGGCTTCGGCTTCTGCACGTGCACCTCCCAGTGCTGGCTTTTTCCTGGATGAGGTGGATGGGGATCCAGAATGATCCAGACCCCTACGTCGCTTCGTGGAAGGTAACAGACCTGCTACAAGATGGTTGCCGACTACTTTGGGCGAACATCATCAAAGTCGTTCAAAGTCTAAACTGATTCCATCACCCCCGTGCCCGACTGGCGTTTGTCTTCGTTTGAAGAGAGATTATCAACATCAAACTCAAGTGATCAAAAGTGGAGAATCGGTGTCCCGAGGCAACAGCAGGATTGGTCGGTATCCCCTAGGATGGTTACCACCAGATGCCTATCGAGCCTTTGTGCGCAGGTGACAGGCAGCTCAACACCTGATAGTCTACAGCTTAATGCATGTTGAGACCACCCGGACTGAGCTTGTTCCTAATCAGACACTCATAGAAAACCGCGTTTTCTTTGTTCCTGCTTGAATGTACCACACCTCAGGTGTGCTCATGGACATGCAAGTTGCGTTGGAACGTTGGAAGTTTTAGGAACCTGCACTGAGAAGAGCCGCATATGTGTTTTGCAGCTCGGCTTGGTTTCCTTTTTCGAGGCATCATGCATCCAAAGCTGTGCCTTTGCATGGATAATAAGCTTCAATTGATACTTAAGTTATCTTGTAATAAATATATGAAGAACATAATAATATGTATATATATATACTAAAATGTAAAGGCAGAGTTTTCCAGAGGCACACGAATAGAACCATGCAGAGAGACAGAAGCAAGGTCTCACGTTTTCTGTTTTCGCCATGGTTGCACTGCGGTTGTCACTGTTGCGCTGTCAGCAAAAGATAGATGGAAGGCACGAGGCTTCGCTCCAGTCCAAGGGATGGTTCATCCTCAATCCTCAAGAAAGGTGACTGGGTGGATGCAGTTACGAGCTGAACTGGGGGTTCCGCTGGAGTGAAGGGGAGCGAAAGAAGTGAAGCGATACCATGAGAGGTGGTGCCGGATCCTCCGAATGCACATGCCTAAAGCGCCTAACGTGCCTAGGCCGAGTACCTGCCATGGCATGATTCGATTAGTCCAATGACGCTGCCGACTATGTTCTGTTGAGTTGGGCAATGCCACAGGCTTTCAGTCTTCACAAGTCTTGGGTTTTAGACGATCTAGGTGGCACCACAGGTCGACTCGCTACGCGTCCGCATATTTCGCATCTGTGGCACTTGATTAAAGCAACATGCACTTTTGTTTCGAGCATGTCCCTCTCCAAACATTCCATACATTCTAGTCTACTTTAATTTCTTATTGATCATCATCGGCATTTTGCCATAGGCGAAGGAGCTGGGCCTGTGGCCGAGAGTGGCTGGCCCTTGACCGTCTTGGAGGATCCAGCGAAGCGCCCAACCCAGCCGTGACCGGACCATGTGGCGGCAAATGGGCGCGACACTGCTTCGTCCCACAGGGGAGATTTCATGGATCACTTGATGCCTAAGGCCTAAGTTGAACTGAGAGTCCGATGTGAACGGTTCAGGGGTTGATCACGAAAGCTAGCACCAGCTAGCTGGAGTTGTCCTTGCTTT